GTTATGGGGTGACAGGTGTTTCCTAATTGTGCTCCTGCGTTGTCACCCTGTCACATTCAATCTTTGTCAGAACTGGCTGTGCCAATACAGGGCATTTTCTACATATAGAAACTACTTCTACACAAAAAAAAACGACTTGTCCAAGGACTAAAGCGGGGGCCCGATGTACTTGTCCCTCATAACAATCTACTTGTCATGATACAAAAAAATTATTTTAACCAAAACTGTATTTAGCAGTGCTAAGAAGCGCTTCTCATTGGTCAGGTGACCGCACTGACAGAGTGCTTGCATTTTGCGAGTGAAATTCAGAATACATGGCATAGGTACAGATAGTACACCCGTATTGACGGACAGGAAGGACTGTTCGCTGAAAGGTAAATATAGCAGGGAAGGAGAGGGGACCAGATTTGTGCGGGTAATTCCATTTTACCAAATTACTAGGTAAAGTGAATTTACCCTTTTAGGGCTGGTGCAGGATTGGATGATCATGTGCGGTTGCATACAGCGGTTGCCGTGCGGCCCCATTGATTTCAATGGGGTTACATACGCATGGCAATCGCTGAAAAAAGGTACATGCAGTGTTTTGAACCGCGATTATGTGCGATCGCATGAGCGGTAATGCAGCAGGAAGCCACGCAATCTGCCTTGCGTGACTGGGGTTACATTGGAAAATAATGGCACTGCCAGCATGATCGGCAGTGGTGTGCGATTCTATGACTGCCCGGCCATTGGCGTGATTTTGTGCACGATTGCTGCGTGGTCACGGATCGCACACTCCGCTCACACACACAATGCCCTATGCATGTGTTTATGCTCATGCAGATGGTGGGGGCAGCGGGGTTGGTTTTAATTTTTTTTTTTACTTTAATTTTTTTTATTTTGTAAAATGTATTTTTAATTTTCATTGTATTTTTTTACTTTTATTGCCTTTTTTATTTTATTTTTTATGCATTTACATCTTTAATTGCTGTTTATTTATTTTCACTTGACTTTATTGCTATGCCACAGGGGCTAGCAAGCCCCTGTGTGAAGCTTTTGGAGGCGACAGGTTCTCTTTATTGACCGTCACCTCCAACACAGGCGTTCTAGCACAGTAATGTGCTCATTCTGACAGGAAGGCTGCATTCCTGTGTCACTACTCACATGGAGCAGAGCAGAAAACAACTGCTCTCTGCTCTGTGCTCTCTAACCTAATCTAATAGTAGAGTGGGGGACCTCGGACCACGGCAGAAAGGGGGATAAATGGTGCTTGCAGCATTTTTTTTCTGACCAGACCACATGCATTTGAATGCATTTTTTAAGATTTAACACCTGAGTTTAGTGTCACTTTAATCCCTTGTGAACAGAAAAATCTTTGGCAACTGTAGCTGAATGTCCAGTGACCTTATTGGAATAAAGTTGTAGCCGTACTATTTTAATTGGTGTGGCGCTTCAATTCCTGCCTCTGCTGTGTTCATTGTCGAGCAAAGGATACTGTGGAGATCCTTTGAATTGTGGAAGCTACCTAGCAATCAGCCAGATCACACATACTCACATCACTCAACTACCGTTGGATGATAAACACCAAGAGAATAATAAATAGCGGGTGTGACGTGCGCTGAGGTGCAGCTGCATTTTACCACAGCTCACTGTATGCTGCCGGCAGTCACTGCATAGCAGTGCAATGTAAAGCGCTGCAGTGCGGAGGCATGAACCGAGTCTACATTTTGTGCACTTTAAGTAAAGTTAAGAAAAGTAAACAAACAAAAAAAAGAAACCGTGCCTTGTATTTGTAACAACGCAAGGCACCGCAGCTCACTGCTGCCACTTGGCGGGCACTAGCCGCATGGTAAAAAGCCACGTGTTACTGTGCAGCTAGTATGGATGAGCCCTTATGTATTCCTGCAAAAGTCATTAAATGTAGTTTTACCCAGAACTAGTATATCTGTTACTGACCTCTTTTCATCCTGTAATCCTAAGCAGCATCTAGATTGAGACAGAGTAGGGCAGCACTATAAGCCATTCAGGAGTCCATTGCTTTACACAGTCCATCAATAATTTGAACATGCTAACAGGAGGAGAGAGCAAAGGGAAATGTACTCCTCCTTTATTGTCCCAACACAGATTTGGAATAGGTTGATAATGAAGAGTTATACTGCAATAGAGAAATGTGATGTCACTTTGCTGTGCTGAACACAACTACACAAACTACAAACCATTTGGCAGGAAAAACAGTTCACGTACGTGCATCTCATCTGGGTATTTAGCTGTTTGCTTGGAGTTCCGCTTTAATAAAATGTTTTTAAGCAAGCTAATAAATATGCTGTGAGTTTGGGAATTATATTGCAGTTATTATGAATGAGTATTTTTAGCACGTTGAAATGTCATTCACCCACAGATGTTATGCCTTTTACGATTGAGGAATGACTCAGACTAAACAGTTCAACTAGCTGAAATTATAAGTGAACTATAAAAGTCATGATGTGAGTAATAAGGCTGCTGTGATCAATGCTCCTGCTGGCAAATTTCAAGTCATGTTTTTTTCTCTTTTTCCCTCTGAACTATTTGAAAATGTATTGACGCTTGACTTAAAATAATCTGTTAAGAGTTTTAAGTGGGCAGGTTTACTAAAATAGGGCACAGTGCGGTACGTACGTTCTCAGTGCTGTTCGGAATCTGCATTAAGTTCTAAAGCGCCTTCTAAAACTGAACCTTTAAAGTGCAACTGTGCCCAGACTTTGGACATTAGGATATGGACATATACTTAGAAATCAGTGAAAGAGCTTTTAGGCTAAGTTCTCACCGCGTGGCAATCGTGCAGGATTCCGTGCGGTAAGGAGTCACCAAGGTGTGAATCGATCGCGCTGTGGGTACTATTATTTTCTAATTGCACCCCAGTCGCGCGTGCTTCCGAACACGTTTGCGGCTAAAACCGCAACGTGACGTGCATTACAAAATTAAGGTACAGGTTTTCCTGCGATTGCCGTGCGCATGTCACCCCATTGAAATCAATGGGGCTGCGTGGCAATCGCTGCCTGCATTGTACAGGACCGCGCGATCCCGCGTCCCGGGCGGTGTAGTGCAGGTGTGAACCTAGCCTCAAACAAGACATCCCTGACCTCCCTGTAATTCTCAGACATCGCAACAATCTCCTTGTCTCATTTGGTTTCTAATGGCTTGGAAACACCTGCTGGTTTTTACATTGGAGGGCTGAAGGTTGCCAAGATCACGTTGGAATTAAAAAAAAAAAAAAAAAAAAATGAATGTAAAAGTCCTGCCTAAACCAAGCACAAGTATAAACTAGAAATCGGAATCTTTGTATAAGAGGCATTTTCTGCAATAACATATTTGTACACGAGATCATTTTAAGTCATTACACCAATCTCTTCTGTATATTCGTTTGTGTAATGTTATAGTTTGTAGTTCTAATAACCTTTTACAGGATACTAATTTTCTTACGTTAGAACTATGTTCTGTGACTGTAATCATTGGGAACCATAGCATTTCCCATAGGAAGTATTTTGCATCCAGCCTCTTGCTTTTCTTATACATGTTTACTATGATAACAGGGAATCTGGTTTGTTGGCGTTGGGAGTTGTTCTTGTTTTTAACATGGGACACTCCTGCATTCTATGTAAGTGCTGACTCGTGTTGTGCCCTAGATATATAGAACAGCAGTAATCCAATCTCTCTTTGGAATATTGACTTTGATGTGACATGTTGCAACACTTTCTGGAAATAATAGCCATCCAATGAAATAGGAGTGGTTGTATTGTTACTTCTAGGATCACAAAGGATTCTAGCAATGTAATTCAGGGTAAGTGTGAGGAAAGATATGTTGGGTCTTGGGTACGTGATGTGTATCTTCTGTAAACTTCTGGAGGCACTAAACGCCACGTTGGATGCAGCTGAATATTGTGCTATGGCTGCATACAAACTGGCCGATTTAGGTGTGGCCAAAAATTCCACGGAACTGCCAACCCCACATGCAAAATGTCTGCATCCAGGGTAGGTCAGAGGCTCATCTGAGCCATTACATGTGAACAGCAGCGTCTCCCACCTGTGCTCCTGCTTTATTGCGCTGTCACATCCATCCAACTACAAGCTACTGTGCTGACACACAATGCAGAGATCTGGTCCACTGCTGTCATTATCAAGAAGCCCCTCCAGAGCAGTAATGTGCAGCCAACACTGGAGCAAGTCCATATAGACAGGATGTGGCTGAATAAAACTTAGTAGCAATGCGGTGCAAAAGAAAAAAAAATCTGAAAACAGGGCAATTGATAAACCAGTTCTTTAGAAAAATAAATGTCCAGTTACGGACTAGATTTACTTTAAATCATGCACCCATTAATAGATGTATACATAGGTTGGAAAAAAAAGCAGACATCCAATAGGTTCAGCTTATTCTGATCCTAATTCTGTCCATCAAGACAAGTCCTGTTTATGCTCAAAGTGGCGACATCCTTTTTGACCCCATTAATAGTAATCTTGAATCTCCCCTTTTGCTGCAGTTAGTTATACGAGAACATATCAATTAGAAGTGGGTAGCCTCACTGCAAGAGATAACTTTTTTTACATTCCTGGAGTTCTTTTTCTGAAGCTAAACTGTAAGTAAAATTGAATTTCCCTTCCAGTGGGACACCCCCACACTGCAAGGGTTAAATGCTTGTTCTGTCTGGGGAGAACAGAAGAAGCAGTATTAGTTGCCTTATTCCTTCCGCTGGCTTCCTACCAGCTGCATGACCAGTTCCACCGAAGCCACTGCATTGTAACTGAGGATGCTGAGGGCCTACCCACAACCTGGGGGGCCAGAGGATCAAAAAGTGGAGAAGAATCCTGACTATAAAGGGAGCGAGGGATAAAGTGAGTAAAACTGCTTTGGTTCTGTTTCCCCTAGTCAGAATTGGGCATTTAGCTGTTTCAGTGCAGGGGAGCCTCACTGCAAGGGCAGTCTTTGATTTAACCTGGAGTACACCTTATTGACTCTGGTTTCTGACTCGTTCACATTATCTTTTCAGGTTTTACTTCCAGCAGCCAGTCTCCTACAGCTTCAAGATGTGAGAAAAACCTGCTGCGAGTTCTTGGAATCCCAGCTACACCCTTCCAACTGTTTGGGAATCCGAGCTTTCGCTGACATGCATGCTTGTACAGAATTGTTAAATCAGGCCAACTTATTTGCGGGTGAGTTTAGAAGATGTGAGATGTTTATGTGGTTTTGCTGCTTTAGATGATTTATACATTTCCAGTCTAATTTAAAAAGATGTCTTTTGTACATATGTAATTTTAGTAACTTATGACTGGAGGCATCAAAGGTGACCGTTCATGGGGGGAATCTAATCTCCTTGTAATTGAACAATCAATGCTTGGTTTACACAAGCGTCTTTTACCAACATGCACTGTGCAGCACATGTCAGGGAAGTTCTCCATTATAGTTTTTATGTCAAAATGGTTCTTCTTGATCCACACACGACATAAGAAGAACAGGGCACAAGCATTTTTGGCATGGTGATATTTGTATGGTGGGCTTCATGTACCAAGTGCCATTCCTGTTACCCCAGCAAGTGCTTTTTCTGTTTCTATCATTCAAGCCTCAGATAACTACAGTAAAAGGACCCAGCAACTAGGTGTGCACCATGTTCCCTGGGATTATGCAGCTTTTTGTACAGCATGGAAGAGATGGCCACTATGGAAAGTAGCATTTTTGTTTTGCAGTCAACTTTGAGAAACCCCCACTATATGTCTGTGTTCCCAGTCACACAGCATACCAAAAATAACCATTTCTTACCTTTTTTTAGATTTTTCTTTAGAGCAGACCTTTGAGTAGACTGCAAGCTACTCTGAACAATTTCAAAGCGAGTCTGTGCCCAGACAAAGTGGGGACAAAGTGAGTTTCCTCTCATTACCATACAGTGCTTCTAGATCTTTAACCTTTGTTAGGCCTGACGGTGTATATATCTAAATTACAATTGTTAATGAGAGCTGCCAGCACAGATGAACATTTAACGCTCCAGTCCCCTTGCATAGCAGAAGAAAAGTCAATTTCAGCTTTCAGAAAAGAACATTTAATGTGGGAAGCATTTTTTTAAATTTGTTAGGTTATGTGAATGGGAACATGTAACACATATAAAATGAGTATTATCCTAATTTGGCTGCAAAAGTGGAGATACATTTTAAAATCTGTGTCCCTCTAAATATTCTTGTACAGTATTTGACAATAACCCCATCAGAACTGCAGAAATACAACAATCCTTCTGTGAGCAAAATGCTGTTGCTGGGGCTCTTGTGTTTTTGAAGCTGGCCATACACCTATAGATTCTCTGCAGATTTTCTATGGTCAGATGGAAAAAGTGCAAGAGATTCCTCCATCTACGCTAAACTGTGTGGATGGAGGAATCTCCCACTGGGCCAAGCTTCAGTATCTTGCTAGTCGGCCCCGCTGGCTGTCAAAATACCTGAACAATCTGATTGGATGTAGGCATTGTTCAGGTATTTTGAGAGCCAGCGGGGCCGACTAGCAAGACACTGAGGCTTGTCCCATTGGGACATTCTTCCATCCACACAGTTTAGCGTAGATGGAGGAATCTGTTGCACTTTTTCCATCTGACAATAGAAAATCTGCAGATAACCTATAGGTGTATGGCCAGCTTTAGCTGTCATACACATGTGAGCATTCGATTTAGTAATTGTGTGAGCAATTGTTATGTGCAACATATAGTTTAGCAGGTCTAAATCCGGCACAAAACCTGATCTAGCAGAATCCCTACTTCCTCTGCTTAATAAGTTAGTAATGTATGACTATTCTGGCTGTCTGCTTCAAGGGGCAGTTCATTTAAATGTAGTATGTTGAGTCATGATAGGTTATTGTGACGGCTTTATAATTCAGGTTAGAAATAATGGAGAAATTGTGGAGTTCTTGGTTTTTTTACAGGAGGACAGGGAGGACCATACACGAATGCTGTGTATGTAGAAGCATCCTCTGTACTGCTTGTACAGTACTTTTATGCTGAGGAACAACAAGATGCTTCCCCCTCACCATCTGCTTTTTCTTGTGCAATTTCGAGTGGTGCTGTGCCTTCTTCTTGGTTTCTGTATGCCTTGTGTATGCAGAGAGTAAAATGTACGTAACATTTACCCCTTCATGACTGAGCTAGTTTTCAGGTTCTGTTCATAAAACTTTGTTCAAATACACCTAAAGGGCAGACGTGTGAATGTGCCCCAACTATGACTTCTATGCTTCTTCATGAAGCAGTAGGACAGACTGGACTTAATGAAACTGTTCTAAATAGAGCCGTTGCACACAATTCTTATCTACTGCCAGATGGGACGTCTGCTTATGTTTGTAATGCATTGGAAGCGTTTCTCTGACGCGGACACATTCATTCCTGTTTTATGGTTGGTCTTGTTGATGACTATGCAGGAAGTCAAATATAACTGCACTCCTCCATCTATCCCCTGCTGCGTGTTAGGTTTGTAAATCTTCATATATTGATGGTTTCAAATCTGGGCCAAATTGACAAAAATGGGAGTGATTTATGAAAGCTAGTGCAAGCAATCATGAAGTGTTTGCCAATACAGTTAGGTTTCTGCTTTAACTTGATAATTGAAAGTTAAAATGTGATTGGTTAGGCATGAGACTGAATCACTACACTCGGGGTTGTAGCTACTTCAAGGAAGAACTCCAGGATTTTTTAAAAGTTAACCCTTGCAGTGGGGCTCCCCCTGCACTGCAAGGGTTAACTGCTCATTTTGGTCAAGGGTCACAAAGAAAATATACCCACCTGATTTATTGTTCCTGCCTGGCTGCTAGACCAGTCCCTGCAGCCTTTTCTCCCCCCATGATCCAGTGGTCTAAGCCCCAGGGATGTCATCACATCTAACAGGTGAAGGCGTTGAAGATACCACAGCCACAGTGGAGGGGGAGAGAGGTGAGTGCTAACTGACACAGGACTGAGGATCAGGTGAGTGTATTTTTCTTCCGTTCCCTAGACCAAAACAAGCAGTTAACCAATGCAATGTGGGGGTAGCCCCACTGCATGGGTTAACTTTTGAAAATCGTCACATTCTTCTTTAATAAATAGCAGCAAAGGTCACCTCTGACGTCTGCCATGCTGGAAAAAAAAATCACAATGGTTGCTGGAAGTAAAAGCACATTTTTTAAAATTATTTTAGGGTCAGTGGACACCTGTCTGCTCTGGTGCCTTGCTTTCACATATGTTGCTTTACAATATGATCATTTTAAATGGGCGCACAGAAAAACATGCCTGCAACTTTTTTTTCCTGACCCCGCGAACCACAACATACAGTGGTCCATTACCATGCATTGTGCCGAGGTGCCATTCAAAAGAATGGCACCATAACACACCAACACATATAAGGTCTGTTCACCCTGGCAGTTGTTTGAATCCAGCCTTAGGCTTCCTATATCACTCATAAGACCTCTCTCGCTCTCTCTTTCTCTGCCTTCCTCCCTCCCTTTCTGACTGTACCAGCCAGCTCATGCTATGATATGCAAGTATACACGGCATACTTGCCCATTATGACACACTCGCTTCTTAGTGTGACCTCTTCCACTGATGTGAGATCTGTGCTTCACCGCTGCCATTGTCTCCCCATCTTCTCTGAGTCTAGTCTTCTGTCTTCAGCCATTGGTCATCCATGGATGGCATCACTCCCGTGCATTTGCATGGCAGCTACCTTCTTGTCCTGGCTCTGAAATCATCTGGCACCCGGGATTGTACCCTGCACTGCACATACAGCCATTGTACATTTCTTATAGAATTGTTTGCAGGAAGGGATATAGGTTTTATGGCAGAACACAGAGCTTCTTGTGCCATAACATTCTACCTGCTGACAATATTTTATAGTGTAAGGTATTAGGTCCATTTTACGTGCCCTTTAAAACAGACCTAGAACGCAGAAGACCCTTCAAGGATCATTTCAATCTATAGGTTTTCTATTCTAAGGCGTTGTACTACTGAGGAAAGCGCGTTTAGTTACTGCCTACGTTTGGGATATGGCATAGTGCTGAAGTTTGTGGGGCAGTACAGCTTTAAACTCCTGCAATGAATTGGATTTGGAGGTACATTCATAGAGTATGGTGATGGTTTTTCTTCTAACATGCCAATCTCTATACAAGAACTGCTATTCGGGAACCAATGGTCTTTTTGCTTGAGGTTCTCCATACAGAGCTCTGAAAGAAGTGTCTTCATGGCGCAATTTAAAGAATCATTTATGGAATGCCACCATGCTCCTGCCATAATGGGCACTTACTAGCATAAAGTATAAGAAGTAGCAGCTTATAGCTACCAAATAGCATTTTTTTTTGGATTATTATTTCAGTCAAAAACTTTACAGTGGGCTAATCTTCTTTTCCTGCCTTTTTGCTGCTTACACAGCTTTGTTGGACATGGACGTCTATATCCCTGTTCTGTGTTATCATAGATTTCAGTGGATATTCAGCCATACAGAAAAAGAATATTGTAATGGAAGAATGATACATATAGAAACGAATCATATCTTTGTCAAGCTTGTGGTAGTTGCTGACTCACGGCACGTCTGTCTTTGTAGACTGGTTTTTCTACACTGAGCGTATAAGCCAACAAAAGAAACTCAACATTGATGTAATGTGTTTTGGTCTGCACCCTTGTGTAACAAGCAAGGGGAGATGATGTCAATATATTCTCCAGAACTAACTGTGAAATACAGACAACAGCACTTCAGTTTGTGTGTAGGTTGGTTTGCTGAGTTGGTGGTTCGTAATACTCTAAATGTGATGCGTGTTACTTTTGGAATGTTTCATTTGCATTTATAATTTTTTACTTGAATTCCCATTATGATTATACTTCATTAATTGGTTGCATAATTTGAAGACTCTCTGGAATTTAAAAAGAGTGAGGCACGCACTATAAAAGTGTTTGGAAGTGTCTGGGCCACCCTATGGGAAATGTCTGTGAGTCTAACAGATTCATGTACATGTCGGGAACAGATGCACCAGAATAAGAACAAACTACTCCTTGCTAGCTGGGGGACCAGCCTAGGTGACAACACATTGACTTTATGGTTATCACTTCTGCCTTGCAGCACTAGGGGTTCCCGATTCAAATCCAGGTCAAGACACCATCTACAAGAAATTAGCATGTTCTCCCTTTGCATTCCTCTGGGTGTCTCCTACCACACTCCAA